ACAAACTGGCATGTCATTTATACAGAATGGACAATGGGATCAAAGTGGTTGTGCAGAAACTTCTTCAACTCCACTAACAACCGAGCAGAGTGCTTAAACTCTAAGCTAAAGCAGATTGTAGAGCGCTTTAGTTATCTCGAATTGTTTGTTGAGCGATTCTTTACCTTGATCAACACTCAACAAAATGAGAAAGCTCACAAAGCAGCTGTTATGCTGCAAAAAAAGATGGTAATACCAAATGGCAATGAAGCAACCAATTTGTATGCCACCCTGCTGACTCCCTATGCATTTCGTCATTTAAATGAAGAGCTACAAGCTTCCATGACTGCCACAGAAAAATCAATTCTGCTATTACTGTTGGCAAGATTTGTACAACTGAAGATTGTTCGTGTGCCTTCAGGAAATCAATGCTGTTGACCTGCCGACACATTTTCGTTGTACGAACGGCATCCAACGTGCCCAAGTACGATAAAGGACTATGTGCTGAGAATGGTTTCTAAATACGTAGCCAATATCCAGCTAAGAAAGAGTGATATGTGCAGTGATGTAGAGCATGTGCAAGTAAAGCACTCGCAGCAATGAAAAAAAAAATTGTCAGCACATCAAAAGTTCAGAAAAGCAGCTGGCATTGAATCAAAGCTTGCAAGTATGGCATCGAACTGCTCCACTGAAATGTTCAAGGAGAGGCTGTCCCTCCTAGAGACAATTCTTGACCATTGGAGAAATGGCTCTAAAGTTCATGTTGCTGCACATAAGCCTGCACATCACTTGACAGCTGCAGTTGCAGCTGAAAGTGCAAACTCTGAAGGTTTTCCGGGGTCTGTTGTGGATGTACAGAGCAATGCTGATCAGAATTTACTGTGCAGAGCCTAGGAAGAGGCGAAACATCACCAGGAGCTCTCGGAGGCAAGCACTAAAGTCAGTGAGCATTCAAGCAGCCAACACTGCAATAGACAAGATGAAGCCAGCACAGATGAGAATTCTTTGTCGCAGCCCTCTGACCTTCAACATATCCAAGTGCCAGTTGCTATGAGAAAATGTGGTCGTCCTAAAGGTCATGTGCTAACAGTTATTGGTCTTCCAAAAAAACGCAAGAGAACAGCAAGTCTGGGATCATTCTCTGAGCTTACCATGAGAGACAAAAAGCTAGCCGTGCTCAGTTGGCTGGTGGGGAAGCAGCAAGCATCAGATGCTATCAAAGGCAAACTACTTGACGAAGAATCTGTGGAAGCAAGGCCTGAAGACATACACGATGGCATTCGAGATGAAATGGTCAACATTAATCTAGTACGGCGTTTTTTTTCACTGATGATGCTTGGAAAGCTGTGCTAATGGTCATTAGCGTAAAAAAGGACGAGAAGTGGAAGTGCACGAAATGCAAAACAAAACTAGATGACCATGATGCAGTATCCTGTGACTGGTGCTTGTTATAGTACCACCTTCCATGTGTTGGTGTAAAACAGAAGCCCAAGACAAAACTGAAAATATGGCTCGTTTACAGCCACTGCTACAGTGCAGTAGCACGTTGCCTTTGTGAAAAAAAACAGCACCTCCATATACAGGGTGTCCTACATAACTTGAGCCAAGAATTTGAAAGTGAAAGGCACTTCGGAGGCAAATTGAACCTAACGCATACTACTCGCACTAGCCCGTAGGTACTGAGGCTATTTTTTATTTCTCCCCATACAAATTAATAAATAATTCAGAGGCGAATTGAACCTAACGCATACTACTCGCACTAGTCTGTAGGTACTGAGGCTAATTTTTATTTCTTCCTATACAAATTAATAAATAATTCTTAATTACATATTTTTAATTATGGGCTGGAAACCCAAAACATGAACATTGAGATGTAGAGCACTTTCAGAAACAACCGACTAAATTGTTTCATGTAGGTTACGTTTTGCGCTGTTATTGTTTTCACGTCGTAAAGAAAGCCCGTAAAATGTGAAAAGGAGCCGTGTGACGGACTGCAAGCGCACTGCTATAGTGCAGCTATAGGCTTTCTTTACAACACGAAAGAATAACAACGCTAGACGTATCGTACAGGAAACAATTCAGTCGGTGGTTTCTGAAAGTGCTTTACATGTAAGTGTTCATATTTTGGGTTTCCAGCCAATAAAAATTAAAATAAATTATTATTAATTAGTATGGGGAGAAAAAAGCTAGCCCGAGTACGTACAGGCTAGTGTGAGTAGTACGCGTTTGGTTCAATTCGCCACTGAAGTGTCTTTCATTTTCAAATTCTTGGCTCAAGTTATGTGGGACACCCTGTATATCTTAATAATATTTTGGGATTGTGCAATAAAATATTTTTCTACACTTTTTCTGTTTTCTAATCTGATTGATATATGGGGTTTAACGTCTCAAAACCACCATATGATTATGAGAGACGCTGTAGTGAGAGGGCTCCGGAAATTTCGACCACCTGGGGTTCTTTGCACCCAAACGTGCACCCAAATCTGAGCACACATGCCTACAAAATTTCCGCCTCCATCGGAAATGCAGCCACCGCAGCCGGGATTCGAACCCGCGACCTGCGGGTCAGCAGCCGAGGACCTTAGCCACTAGACCACCGTGGCGGGGCTCCATTTTCTAATCTCACCTACAGTATTGGCTGGCCGTTACGGGCAAAGTTGGAATTACATATAAGTTGGCTTATGTGCTCTTGTAGAAATTAAATTAACAGTGCTCTAAACTTTTGAAAAAAAGGTAGTAGTACTTGCTAACTTTGGGGTAGTAATGGTTTGCCACATATGTTGCAACCCAGGTAGTAAGTGCAGTTAGCTATGTTAGGAGTGGTAACTCTTGCCACCTTTGCTTTAATTAACGGCATTTAGCAACTGTTCCTACCCTAGCCATTACTAATTACTACCATAGTTAGCATCTTTTAGAGGTTTTAAGAAAAAGAAAAGTAGTAACGGATACTACCCTGTTCATTTTGCCACATCATTTCACCATTGATAACACTGGCCAATTTATGTCTCATTACTATGCAACTTCGGGTAATTTTGCGTAGTGTCATCATGAACGCGAAGATTGCACGGCCGTAAAAAGTACACTAATGCTACAATACTAAGTAAACGAGTCGTGCGGTTTATATAGCCCCTACATTAGGATGCATGTCAGCACTTGTGTCAGGTTGCAGGTGTTTCAGGATGAATTATAAAAAATGCCAGCCTAGTAGACTATACCATACTAACTGTTCCTGCGTGTTTGGGTCAGCCGTGCTTATAAAAAATTATGTCGTATCTATTTCATATAAATGTGCCACAAGAAGGTTATATCTACAGCAGCCGAAACTAGGTACCGACTCGTTAACACAGTCTCAGTGCAATTTAATGGTTGACTGTGCCAATATATTCTCTGTTAGAAAGTAATGATTTCTGGGATTTTATGTGTCAAAATCAGAATATTATTATGAGACATACCGTAATGAGAAAGTCTGCATTAATTTTGACCACCTGGTTAATTTCTATTTGCCTGTCATGTTAGTTTATTATAATTGTGTATAACAATGCATGCAGCACTTGCTTATGTTTCCTTAACTTGAACCTCTTCATTGTGATAATAGCTGAATGATGCTTAGATATCTCTGTTGCACAACTTTTTTTTTTTATCCAGGGATATCTAATGAATCATTTTTTCGTTTAAAGATGAGCCCCGCCGTGGTGGTCTAGTGGCTAAGGTACTCTGCTGCTGACCTGCAGGTCGCGGGCTCAAATCCCGGCTGCGGCGACTGCATTTCCGATGTGGGCGGAAATGTTGCAGGCCCGTGTACTCCGATTTGGGTGCACGGTAAAGAACCCCAGGTGGTCGAAACTTCCGAAGCCTTTCACTACGGCATCTCTCATAATCATATGATGGTTTTGGGACGTAAAACCCCACATATTAATCCATTTAAAGATGAAACGTTGAGACGATTTGTCTTAAATATAATACAATATGTGTTACTTATCTTAATTTGCATAGTTAATGGCCGGGTCGCAAAAATTTAGAAACAGCTTCAATCACTACCTATTTCATTCCAATTACTGGGTACTAATGCAGGTAGTAAACAAGTAGTAAAAAGTAAGGGTTGCAGCTAGTAACTTTACTAGCATAGGTAGTAAACAGGTTGCAAAAGGTTAGTAATGCTTCAAGAAAAGTAGTAAACTTTGTAGTTACTCCTTATTAGCTTGCAGTCTCTACCTTTTTACTAACTTTTTTTAAGAGTGTATGGGGAGTTTATGTTCGGCTGCTGTTAGAATGCTGACAGATTTTACGATGCCGGGAGGACTTTCAGAAGTTCTCCCGGTTGAGAATAATACAAAAAGATTTGTCCCGACAGTTACTCACCTGACATATGAGAGCCAACGGGAAGCGACTGCGGGAGAAATTTCCTTGAGTAATTCCCTCGGCAACCGGAATAATTGTTCGAAAAATTTCACCCGGCAGTCGCCTCCCATTGGCTCTTGTCTGTCAGGTGACTAACTGCCAGGAAAAATTTCAATAATTCTCCCGGTTGCCGGGAGAATAATACAAAAAAAATTCTCCAGGCAAATAGTCACGTGACATATGAGAGCCAATGGCAGGCGACTGCCGGCAAAAATTTTTTGAACAATTATCCCGGTTGTCGGGAGAATAGACACACCCCCAAATTTACTCAACCGTGTTTACCGAACAACCTCAATCATGTTGACGAACTTGCACTTAGCCATCGTTCCATACTCGCGGAAGAAACTTATAAGACTGCTCAAATACAGGAATGGTTGTTGAGTTTTGAAAAAGAAAAACGAAATTCAGTTCATTTAAACATCAACTGGCGAGAAAAGGTAGCAGAGAGACACGCGATCCCAAACCACGACCTCCTCTATAAACTTATAGAGGAGTTCGTGTCCCAAACACATGCAACAGATGAACAGGGTACTGCGCCGTGCCCCCACAATGAAATGCAGAGAACAACGCCATTTTTCACAACCGCTCTCGCAAACCGATAGCACGTGTACGCAAATACTCACGTTGCGGTTGGCTCAAACACACAAAATGGGCGGCCCCACTGCGTAGAACGTTGGACAACTTGATAATTTCCTCTACGACAGAGCGAAATGTCATGCTGAATCGGTGGGTGGACACTGCGAACAATATTTAAAGTCCTGATAAACGTTGAAGCTTAAGAGCTTAAGGTATCTTTGACTGGTCACAGGATGGATGGATGGTTGGATGGATGTGGCTGGCTGTACCCTTTAGATCGGCCGGCGGCTAACGCCACCTAGCCGTAATACTTAGTGAACTAACCATTAGTTTTATCTTTTTTTTTTTTTTAGGTAGTGAGGTTGAGAATTCGTACTTTGCAGTAAGGGGTTTAATTTTCACTCGTGCCTTGCCTTTAGCCACCAATCAGATAACCTCCTTCTAGTTAAGTCTACCCACTTAAAGTCTATCTTGCCCTCCTTGTCCCTAAACCCCAGCGCTTTGAAAAACTCTGCGCCATCATCCTGAACTATAGGGTGAAGCCCTTTACAGAACATTATCAAGTGTTCGGCAGCTTCTTCTTCCTCTTCACACGCACTGAATACTGTATCTACCCCTTCGTATTTGGCGCGATATGTCTTATTCGCAATACTCCCATCCTGGCCTCAAACAGTAGAGAACTACCCCGAGTATTATCCTAGATACTTTCTTTGGCAATTTCCTGCTTAAAAGTTCGATAGATCTCTAGTGCAGACTTCTTAATCATGCCGATTCTCCACATGCCAGTCTCCGTTTCCTTCACTTTCTTGTTAACCGATAGTTCTGCTTGCTTTGGCCACCTGCTATTTTCCAAGTATTTACCAGTAAATTTCCTGGTTTGCTTCCTCCATATAGTATCGACATTCTTCATGTACAAATAGCTGAAAACCTTCCTAGCCCAACCCTCCTCCCCCATTTCCTTCAATCACTTCTCAAATTTTATCTTGCTGCTAGCTTCCCTGCCCTCAAATGATGTCCATCCCATATCCACAAGCTTGTACTCCCTGATTTGGAGTTTTCTCGTGAGCACCTAAAGCAAGCCTACTTATTATACGTTGCTTAATTTCTAATCTTGCTTGAACTTCTGATCTCATCCACAAGACCGCATTGCCGAACGTCAGCCCAGGAACCATGACCCCTTTCCATATTCCTCACAAAAAATCATACCTATTGTAATTCCACAGTGCCCTGTTTTTCATTACCGCTGCATTCCTGTTACCTTTAGTCGTCACGTATGTTTCGTCTTCCCTTAGGTACTCGGTCCCATTGCTTATCCATACGCCCAGATATTTGTATTTATCTGTTATCTCTAGCGTGACTTCCTGTATTCTAAGCTCACTACCTTCGTTATCCATAAAAAAAATGACTGCTGATTTTTCCTTACTGAATCAAAAATCTGACCTATCTCCCTCATTACCGCAGATGTCCATCAATTTCTGCAAATCTTCCTTGTTGTCAGCCATTAGCAGTATATCATCTTCGTACAATAATGCTGGTAGTGCCTGATCATAGAGTTTTCCTTGTTTGACTGAAGAGAGTGTTGTGTTCTGGGTTTTCGGTTTCGGTTTCAGGAAGATATGTGAGGATGCCAGGAGGCGCCACTCTGGCATCTAGGATTTAAAGGCGACTGTAAAATAAAAGCAGTGTGTGTTGGGTAACCGTAGAGTGCGGTTGTTGTTCTTTCCTTTGGCGCTTCGCGCCAATCCGCGTGTTCGGGCTGGTCGGCGTCCCCGCCGGCCGCGTACGTCTCCGCCGGCCGTCTTCTTCTGCTTCGTCGGGACCAGCCAGCCCCCAACACAGCAATGGCGACGAAGATGGGATCTGCAGCTGTAGCTGCCTGAAGCTCAGCTTTAGTAATGCAGGAAGTAACTAGTGAAACAACTTCCTCATCCCACTCTTCAGTAACCTCCCCTATTTCTTCATTCGCCCGGAGACCCGCCACTTCCATGGGCGGACTGACGGAAATTGGTGTTTCAGGCCTACGCAGACGCAACCGGGGAGGACGCCAGCAAGCCCGAGCGTCGCAAGGCCCTGCTGCTCAACGCGTTGGGCCCTGCCGGGTTAAAGCTCTTCTATACTTTGGATGCCACCAACGCGTCGCCGACGCAAGCGTCGGGCGATGCCTTCAAGAATGCTGTTGCTCTTTTCGATGAGCATTCTAAAGATGTCTCGTGCGATTATCTCGCACGCGTAAAATTCCAAGAATGGCGACAATTGCCTGGCGAGCCAGTCGCCGAGTTCATTACTTCTCTTCGAACGCTCGCCGCGTCGTGCGGCTTCGGCGCGCTCGAGAACGATATGATCCGCCATCAGCTTTTCACCGGAGTAGCCTCGCAAAACTTCCGCTGCCGCATGCTTCAAAAAGGCTCCTCGATTTCATTATCCGAAGCCCTCTCGATTGCGCGAGAGGATGAGCTCATTCGCTCCCAGTTGGAGCAATTCGCTCCGCATTCAGTGCAGCCATAGAGAAATGATTGATTGATTTGTGGGGTTTAACGTCCCAAAACCACCATATGATTATGAGAGACGCCGTAGTGGAGGGCTCCGGAAATTTTGACCACCTGGGGTTCTTTAACGTGCACCCAAATCTGAGCACACGGGCCTCGACATTTCCGCCTCCATCGGAAATGCAGCCGCCGCAGCCGGGATTTGAACCCGCGACCTGCGGGTAGCCATAGAGAAATAAAGGTTAAGAGTGGACACTCCCGTAGAGCCCAGCGGCCCAATCGACCCTAGCACACCTAGTGGTTGGTGAGAGCAAGTGGCGTGCGCTTCCGGTTTCGGTTTCACTGGCGCAAATTTTGAATTACTTTGCAAAACCGACGTTTGGCTATGACGAAAGTTCATGATTTCAGACCACTTTTCATCGCCCAAATGGATAGTTTTTGTAGGTTGTTTTGATTTAGCGATTCCCTGTTTTGTTTTGTTCAGTGGTTCGTGCGAATTGGTCGTGACGTGGTTTTTATTTCGATTAAGTTGTAATAAAAAGAGATGCAGGTAATGATAATTCACTACGGTTTTATTCATCGCGCTTGTGTTTTTCTTTCGGAACAAGTGATCAATGTATATATCAGTCAAAGAGACAGAGTATCCGCAACGTTTTATTCAAAGGCAAGGTAGAGTCTCTGAATATAAAAAGCACAATATGACAAAGGTAGACAACAAACGCATCTCGCCTTACAAATAAATTGTAACAAATACAGCGAGAACACAGACAACGCACACATTGCTAGAGTTGGCAGAAGCCGAGAAGCTGGTGAAGTATGACACACCGGGCCAGAGGGTAAGTAAGGATCTATGGCAAAAACACGGCGCACAATGCTGATGAAGAAGGAAGAGGTGACATATACACAGTAATGAAGTCGCGAATCACGCCTGGGGTTAACCGAAATAATGTATAGAAAAAAGCGCACAGAAACCACACGATACAATATAGCAGAAAGGCAAAGATGCAGTGTGCTGGCTGTGCTTAAGAACAGCTAGTCCAAAATGAAAAAAAGAAGACTTGATGCCTGCTTGTCCTCAGATAGGTAGGGCTTTGCAGCTTGCTCACTACGTGAAAGACAAACTTTATGCTACAACACTGGCAGGTTTTGTGGCTTTTGTTATGCGTCGCCTTCATCAAAAACTTGAGATCCCAAGTGATTTGCGTCTGGGTGTTGCTGTGACGCTTGCGAGCTAAGATAGATTGTAGTCATCACTTATCCAGAATTGTGGACCTTAATTGGTGCTACGAGAGCGGTATTACAGGGCTAATAAATAGCAGAAGGAAACCACTTTGGCTCATTATTTTTGACAAAGGCTCTACATCGTACGTTATCACTCAAAAGCTATATAAAAATAAAATGGCAGCGTCCGCAGCCCCATCAAACGCTACAAGTTTGAGTATTCTTTTGAAAATTTTGATGGGCGAGATGAGGAGGTTGATGAGAAGCTAAAATACGAAAAGCGTGATAATGTGAACCGTGCCCACTTCATACTGTGTTTCTTACCCGCTCGAAGACATTTCAACAAGCGGTTTTGTTATCGATATATTACTTGAGCTGAAGAGATAAAGCATACACAGTGACCAAGCGAGCCACAATAAAGTGTACAGTTCGCCCGCATTTGCTACAAAAATACAGACAGGATACCCAACATTCTTTTTAAGGTTATGCAAATCACTTCGAGCGAATACACAGTGTCCTTACTCCTCATAGCGGGTAACCCAAACAATGTATGCAACGAAGGAGTGGCTAGTCCAGTTGAGCTGAATATAAGCATATAAGACCATAATGAAGTCTGCTGTAACGAAGTAATAACATAACAAAGCTATAGCAGGATTCGGCTCAACTCGAATACTTTAGTGTAAACCCGCCGCTAATTGCTAACCTTTGAACTTGTCAAGCTGTATGCCTGAGATTGAAGACTGGAACCTAACCCTATCTAAGTTTCGGTTCACAAAACGCACATGCCAACATAAATGAACCCGGCAAAACATTTTTAGAAACTTCGCGCGACACCCAGCAGAGCAGAAATGAAAATCGCCAACACTTGATAGATGGTGATACAAAACATCGCACACTTTCAGGTGATGTGCAGTGGCCTCAATTATGGCAAGAAAGTGAGATTCAAGTTGTTGTACGTATGCAAAAGCTGCTTCTGATGGCACAGTGAGATTCCCAAAAAGTTTGCTGGGGACGTGGTATGCTTTGAGCATTGTGAAATACTGGTGGGTACCCTTAAGCGTCTCACTGTCGTCTTTCAGTAACTGTGGGCAACTGCAACCGTCACGTGCATTCCGAAGGAAGTGTTCGATGAGAAAACCAGCTACATAATATGCAGCGGAGTCATCGATAATATGGGAGTGAACGTTTGTCGCAAGTTCAGAGAGATCGTCTAGAGCGGGAAAGTCGTCAGGCTGTGGCTGTGCACACTCCTCATTATCCACAAGAGACGCACTGGTGAAGGAGAATGGCGAGAGCTGCTCCTGGAGGAGGTCACATTCATCATCCTCGACATTTTCGTATTCTGACAGCTTGAAGAGTTTTCTTATACAGATGTGCTTCGGGCCACAAATAAATTGTGCTACATTGGGGTTGGTGTTGCAACCCTGTTTTTGCCTAATGTGGCCAAATATGTTCTCCAGAGGATCCTGTTGAAGCCTGCGTGTTAACAGGTATTCAAAATTGTAATCTTTGGAGAGGTCGTCCCATAGTTGACAAATTGCCTGAATTGTA